CTATCTTCTCGCCCGAGGGCCGCCTCTACCAAGTCGGTGGGTGTCCGGCTTCGGGGATGCTGCCGCTGAATTGCCCTGTCACGGGCTCGGCCTGCCCACGCTGCCGCTGTTTCCCGCGGCGTGAGGCGGGAGCGGGGTCCGGAAAAACCCCGCCCTCTGGCTCGGAAAACCTCCGCCAGGCCTGGCTGCCTCTAGGGAGGGGGGACTGTGGTCCCGGTCGTGCCGGCGTGGGGGCCTGGGAAGGGAATCCTCGCATGAGATAAGGAAAGCTTAGAGGCAGGGTAGGCGCTCTCGAGTGTCCTCTCACCTCTTGTGAATTCCCGGTGTTCGATTTCAGATGCTTGAAGACCTGACTTACAGCTATCCAGAAGCTGTTTCTATCCTAAAGTGGTTTTTTCATTTTACCTTGACAAACTTATGAGCATTGTGTTTTGGAATCTGAATACTGCAATAGCTGTTTGAAATGGGACTTGAATTGCCTCAACGGTGCATGCTAGAGTAACAAAGTCAGGTTTTGGAGGTAGCCTACACTTGCTCTTGTTACACCTGGATGCAGTGTGTTCTGCACATCATGGCCTGTGAAACAGCAGCGACCATCCTTTTATTTCCAGGCTTCTTTGAACCCTGTGCAGTTGAGCTGCAGCCTGTCTTCATCTTCTGTAGGCCACTGAGTGTTTTCCTTGTGTCTTTACAGTGCAGCAGAGCCTCATGGCGCTTCTGCAGAATACTCTGTAACAGCATAGCCAGCTCATAGTCTGGCAGGACAGCTCACAGAGAGGGCTCCTGAAGGGTCCTCACAACAGGGCCAGATGAATTGTTTTGGCAGCAGTATCCTGATGCTGTCTTGCTCTGGAGCTTAGTGACTTCCCCAGCTGCAGTGGCTTCACTGCATGTGCATTGCACAGCATGTCCATAGCATCCATCTGTGCTCCAGGAAAGGAGGTTGCTAGGACCAGACTGCATGAATTGTCCAAAGAAGATGATTATGGTCAAATTTCTGACTGTCGTGATGTATTCAGGCAACAGCAAGGGCCTGCTCTCTTCAGAAGGAACATGTGCAGTACTACTGAAACACTTACATAGCAGAAAACAGACTTAAAGCACCACTAGCAATTTGGATTTGTGATACTGTAAGAGCCATGTCACTTTTTGACTTGTCTCTTTGAAAACTGATCAGTGCAGGTAATAGGAAAAGTTTGAGAAGGGGCTGAGGTGCAGCAAGCCTGGTTGTCAGTGCTTGTGAGGAAAAACTGGTTGTGAGGGCATTATTTCTGCTCCTATTCCTGCTTGTGCCCGAGTGTCACAGAATGACAACAGCTGTGGTTGGAAGGGACCTCTGGAGGTCATCTGGTCCAACTCCTGGCTCAAGCAGGGCCACCTAGAACTGGTTGCCCAGGACTGTGTTTAGACAGCACTTGAATATCTCCAAGGATGGAGATATCCACAGCATCCCTGGGTAACCTGAGCTACTGCTTGATCACTCTCACAGTAAAAAGCATTTCCTGGTGTTCAGGTGGATCCTCCTGTGTTCCAGTTTGTGCCCATTGCTTCTGGTCGTGTCGCTGGGCACAACTGTAAAGAGCCTTGATCCACCCATCTTCTTTACACCCTCCCTTCAGATATTTGTACACGTATCTAAATAAGTGCTGCAGAGCCCTGGCCTGGGGCTTCAAACGTGACCAGTCTGTGGGCAGTGCTGGCTCACGTCTCACTGGGTTCTGTGCTTTGCCACAGGGTAGCACTGATCATCCCAGGGAAGGCGAGTGGAGAGGTGAGCAGAGTTGTGCATCCAGCAGGGGAAGGGAAAGCATCCTTTATAGCACATTTTGATAACAAGTACTCTGATGCCTGAGAATAATAAATACAGTGCCATAAGCATCTGGCAATCAGCTCTTCCACAGCACTGACTCAGCAGCTTGAACATCCAGATCCTGGCATTGCAGGAGTTTTCTTCTTCATTTTCACATTATTGCCCTCCTGTTGTGCAGCCTCTTCCATAGATTTTAATGCAGCTTTTAAAACAGCTGAGTTTCTTGCTCCTGTTACTTTAGAAGATAGTTTAAGCAGTTTGCTGTGCTATTGGTTAGATATGTTCTAAGTAGAAATATTTCAAGGAAGCGGTGATACTGGTTTTGTGAAGAGTCAATGACTTAATTCCCATCAGAAAGTTCTTGTGTGCATTATAGTAAAGATCTTAAAGACTCAAAGCATTGCACAAATATTAAAGTATTAAACACACAAGAACTTGGTGAGATTTCTGTGCTGGGGGAAGTGTGTCAGAGTTATTTGTTCTAGTATCTCTTAACGGTTTTTTTAATTAACTTTTACACGTTTTTCTAGAGTATGCTTTCAAGGCCATAAACCAAGGCGGGCTTACGTCTGTAGCTGTTCGTGGGAAAGATTCTGCAGTAATCGTCACACAGAAGAAAGTACCTGTAAGTAGTCTGGTTTTGAGGGGGAGACTGGGAGGAGATGAGAAAACAGATGGGGGTGAGATTCTGCAACACTGACATTGTATTTATTAGCATTGATGTGTATTGCTGTTTGAATGGAATATCTTCTTATGGTTCTGCTTATTAAAAGCTCTAGCTCTATTTAGTGCTCAGTTGTACATTTCCTCCCCACATACTATAATATTGGTTTTCTCTGTAGTTGTTTAAGGGATAAAGTTAAAATGAGAAGTTGGTCCTGCTGTACTTTAACATGCATATGTATATTACTCTGGCTTGTAAGGGCTGAGTTAACCATAAGCAGTTTCCTGATTTATTTAATTCCTACTCAGAAAACACCGTACCAGTAGCACGCAGAACAGATTTTCATGGGTGTTTCACCACAGTGGTGGTGTTCTTGACAAATGGGGAAACCCCTTGCGTTTGAAGAGTGTGAGTTTTTGTATGTGTATTCAGAGTTTCTTCAGAGGGAAAAGGACTTTGATGGCTATGCTTTAGCTGTCAGTCTTGCCCAGATACTGTGGTTTTTATCTTCTCTGTTCTCCTGTTTTTTCCCTTTGCATGGCTATAGCAGTAAATAGTGGAGAGCCTGAAAGACAATTTTTAGCTGTTAGTTGATTCTTTTGGGCTCTCCTGTAGATACAGGAGCATCCAGAGGTTTTTTGGTGGTTTTTTGTACTTGAAGGATAGTGTTTCCTATTACATTATTTCTGTTTTCTCTTTAGGACAAGTTACTGGATTCCAACACAGTTACTCATTTATTCAAAATCACTGAAAATATTGGCTGTGTGATGACAGGAATGACAGGTACTTAATTCACTATCTTTTTTAATTGTCTGAAGTGTGTCAGATTTTCGATGTAGTTTGCCAACTTTGCATCACATAAAGCAAACAACTGCTCTAGGAGATTTGTTCCACTCACTCTGGTTTTGGAGAACTGGTCTAGTTCTCATGTATGTATTTAAAGACAACTTAGAGTTGGGCCTGGAATGTGCATTCTCAAATGTTCAGTGCAATTAATATGAATTCTTTCTGTCTAGCTGACAGCAGATCCCAGGTGCAGAGAGCCCGCTATGAGGCTGCGAACTGGAAGTACAAGTATGGCTATGACATCCCTGTGGATATGCTGTGTAAAAGGATTGCAGATATTTCTCAGGTCTATACGCAGAATGCTGAAATGAGGCCTCTTGGTTGCTGTAAGTATAGGGTATGAAATAATTCCTTTCTGTTTCTTGTCAGAGCTTGCAACTTCAAGTATAAGAAATTATACTGGAGAACAAGCCTTATGAGGAGCGGCTGAGGGAACTGGGGTTGTTTAGCCTGGAGAAGAGAAGGCTGAGGGGAGACCTCATCACCACCTACAACTACCTCAAGGGAGGTTGTAGAGAGGTGGGTGCTGGTCTCTTCTCCCAGGTGATGGAGGATAGAACAAGGGGAAACGGCACCAAGCTGTGCCAAGGGAGGTTCAGGTTGGAGATAAGGAGGAAGTTCTTTACTGAGAGGGTCGTCAGAGGCTGGAACAGGCTGCCCAGGGAGGTGGTGGAGTCACCATCCCTGGATGTATTTAAAGAGCGCGTAGACGAGATACTTAGGGATATGGTTTAAGGGGTAGACAGGAACGGTTGGACGTGATGATCTCAGAGGTCTTTTCCAACTGAGCGATTCTGTGATTCTGTGAAATTCCCATCCGTCTTCAAACTGTGCAAGATATGGATGTAACTGAAGGAGTAAGGGATGAGCAGCCAAATGAGAGAGCAGTGTGGAAGTCTTGAATTAGAGCCATAATTTTACCATTGACTCGGCATTTGGACTGGAGTAAATGATTTAGCCTCTTTAATACACGTGATACTATTTCACCTTAGTTTTTGGAGTCTAGTCTGTTTACACTGCACAGTGATGTCTCTGAATGAGAGAGACACTTTTACCAGTGTCTCTGTCTGGGTAAATACCACTGTTAGCACAGACATACGGAGGATGCAATTATACTTGTGCCGATTTTCTGGCTTTTTTAAATCTCAGTAGTCTGTATAGGACAAAAATCTGTGTAATTTTTGCTCTTAACCATGATTTATATAATGTAGATAAGTGCTTACAAATATTTTATATGCAAACATTTCTGCACCACTCTTGTTTTGTAACATCAAATGAAGCCTAAGTAAAAAAAGATGTGTGTAAAGATGGTTTTTGTAGGTATTCCTGATCACCTGAGTGTTCTGAGGTTGGTTCTGACCTGTTTTTTCTCTTACATTTGGCTGTGAGCAAATTGTAACCGTAGTGTTAGGTCATCCAGGAACTGAGATAAAAGACTTAATGTTTCCTCTATTCCTTTTTCATTAAACATTCTGCCTGGGTTTCTTTTTGTTTGCTTGGTGTTTTTTGGTTGTTTTGGGATTGGTTTTTTTTTTGTTTTATGTTTTGTTTTTCTTCAGAATAGTTTCAGAATTGATGAATCACTTCTCGTAACCATAGTAGGCACTGGCCTTTCTCACTGAAGAAGTCACAGTCAGCGTTGCACCACAGTTTCCATGGTGGGGCAATTTTCCTATGCTTTTATGCTTGTAATGTTCAGGAATTATTGTTTCTTTCTTCCCTTGGCATTTCCCACGCCTTGATACTACTGGAAAGTGATTACCAAAAAAAAAAAAAAGTGTTTTTCTTAACTTTCCTTAACCTTTTATTGAAAAGATGATGGGAAATTTTTTTCTGTTGTAGTAATAGCTGCTCAGAAGCTTATCAGCTGTAACTACTAGTGAAAAGTTACGCAAGTGTAAAGAGAACATAACTTAAAAACGTGACCTTATTCTGTTCTGTTGTTGGGTTGGGGTTTGGTGGGGTTTTTTTTTGCAAGCATTGCTTTTGAGTTATTTTTAATATGCGTAGTGAGATTATACAACTGTAAATCTAAAGTGTGGGTGAACACAGATGCATTTCAGTGATGTGACCAGGTTGTGTTACTTGGAAGCCTGTCCAACTTCAAAACATTTAGTCAAATGGTCTTCAAAAACTCATCTATTTCCACATTTTATTTCAGATTTTTTTCCTTTAAAGGAAAGAGGAAAAGGAATGTAATGTAGGAATTTCATGATTGCAGTTGAGAAATCTGAAGTTGATCTTTTAATGCTTCCGTTGATTTCAACATGTTTGTAAAGTTGCTTTCTGGGGGAAGGCACAAGTTAACAGAACTATTGTTTACACGTCTAGAGTGTCACAGAATGCACAGGAAGTGAACTGTCACTGGGCTGGTTTTGTATCGGGGCTGAACTTTTGTGTTTCCTGACTTTGTGTTCTCTGCACACTGAGCATAGTAAAAGTGTTTCTGTGTTTAATGAGCAGCCTTCTTTGAGAATGATAGCAGTCTAGTTTGCACTAAACTGAGTTGCACATCTGGTAGTGAGATGCTGATAAGAAATGGCAAATTAGAGAGAAAGAGGAAATCACAGCTCCAGGTATTGGACTAGTTCCCAAAAATGTACTGCTGCGCATGCACGTGTTAATGGCAGAGGAGTATCTGCTCTGTTCTTCAGTTGAATGAAATTACTAACATTGAGGAAAGAAATAAATTAACACATTTTCTCTTCAAGGTATGATTTTGATTGGTATTGATGAAGAACACGGCCCTCAGGTGTACAAGTGTGATCCGGCAGGTTACTATTGTGGATTCAAGGCCACAGCTGCAGGAGTTAAACAGACAGAGTCAACCAGTTTTCTTGAAAAGAAAGTAAAGAAGAAATTTGATTGGACATATGAACAAACAGTAGAGGTAGGCAAGCAGGGGGGAGATGTTAAAGTGTTTTTAATCAACATGGTGTACGTAGGCTTGTGATACAGAGGAGCGCAGTTAGGCATTTCCTGCTTTCTTACAGTTCTGTATTGCTGCCAGAGCAAGTGTAGCTATTCCAACCAAAAATGGTTTTATTTTGCAAGTGTTTAAGTAGTCATCTAATCTGCTCTCTCTGCTTTTCGTTAGCTGAAGCAGAATCTGTAACTGTAGCACTCCCACTGTAGCTGCTGGTTGGTTACTACAGTGCTTGATTCTGGGGATGCCAGTACAATTTGCTTCTAGTGGCACTTAAAGCACTCTTCATTAGAAAGCATTTCTAACGGGGTGGTGCTTGTCTGTCAGTTTAGTAAATATAACACCGGTTGTTATGCCTGCTGTAAAAACTGTTGTTCAAGGCCCATTATAAAAATGTGTCCTACTTAAAGGTAAATGAACTTATTTTACAATTATCCCTGCTTTTTCACTTACACTGTAGAGATCTATCTGAACAGTCCTCTTCCATGGCCCACCTGTTGCTCCTGCCAGGCCTTGTTCTTCTCTCATAATGTTATGTTTCCCACATCACAAGATGAGTGGTTGAAATGAGAAATAATAACCTAAGCAACTGACTGCCCTGCAGGATTAAACAAAGTATTGTATTAAGATCCCTCTGAATGCTATGCAGATTCAGCTAAATTATATCTGAAGTCCACATTATTGTGAAAGTACCGTTTAAACAGAAAGTTCTTCAGCAGAAACTCTTAAGTTTTATATGTATAGCTTTATAAGTACTGATTTCTTTTAGAGAAGATCCTGAGAGGGTTAAATACTGAAATGGAATGTATTTGAAATTCCCCCAGAGATCTTTTTCTATCCTGGCTAAATATTTTATTAAATGTATTTTTCTACTACAGCTTGATTATGCTGTGCTTGTTTCTTAGTTGAGCGGTAAACAGTCTTTTGTTATTCTCGTTTTTAATTCATAAATCTTCATGGTATAGTGCAAATACTTAATTGGTAATTAATCCGCCAGTCAAATCCTGGATGCAGTTCTGTACCTTTTTGCTGCCATCAAAATGATGAGACTGTGAATGTAGATCAGGCACTGTTACTCTAAAAGTTGGCAGTGACAGGGAGAAGCAGGTCTGTCAAGCAGCAACAAGAATCGTGTTTTGGTGATGTTCTTAATGCACACAGACACACACTGCTTTTCCTTTTTTTAAAGCTTGTGGTGCATTAAAGGTAATGCTCCAAGGATAAGAATTTTGTGTGGTTTTTGGTTGTTTTGGGGATTTTTTTTTTACAACTTGGCAATCCTCCAATAAGACACGTATGTATCTTACAGAACCATTGCAGAATCAGTGTATTATGAACATATTGAAAATAAACTTTAGAGAAGTCTTTTCTGGTATTCTACACTTCCTAACACATTACTGGCAGAATGAAATGCCTGCTTGTCAGAATAACTGATCTGATAATCCAGGCAAGACTTTTCTAAAAGGCTGCATAGCTGTTTTATGGAACATTTTGTGCTCAATCATCATTTCAGGAATACATTGTTAGCATTATTACGACCCTTCTGCAGGATTAAGTATGAGTGAGGTTGCAAAGAATGCCTTTTAAAACAGGTGATGATTAGGGTGGAAAAAAATTAAGACATGATGAAATTCAGCTTTTAACAACAGCCAATGTAATTTTAATTACCAGAAGAAAACCCAAAATGGAGGCTATGCAAGTGACGTGTGCTTTGAGTGATCTTGGACTGTAATGATGACGTCTGTCTTGTTTACCACTCAAGTTCTGTCCTTGCGACCTGGGGTTTTAATCTTTGCGTGATAAAAGATGTTGGTTTTGCTGTGGGTTTTTTCCACTATGAAAATGGCATGTCCCCTTGTTTTCTGTAGACTGGGCTTTCTAGGGCAAGGACCAGAGCAGGACTGTGTTCTGTAACACGGGGATACTATGTGAAACTTTTCAGCTGAGGCTTTGAGGTGGAAGGAAATAACTTAGATCTAGAAGGAAGGGTGGTTGTTAATGCTATGTCTATTTTAAAAAAATAAATAAAAAGCCTTAGTGCTTTCTGTTTAATGACAGGTTTTTTTGTCATCTTTCAGACAGCAATAACATGCCTGTCTACTGTCCTGTCCATTGATTTCAAGCCTTCAGAAATAGAAGTTGGTGTAGTTACAGTGGAAAATCCTAAATTCAGGTAAGTGATCAGTGAGGATAAAATTGGTGTGTTTCTCTGGTTATGTGCAATTAGGTTTAACTTCTTGTGTAACAGTAAATCACGAAAAAGAGATCAATGTCCGAAATGAAAGGTTTGGAGGCTTGGGGTTTTTTACATGTAACTTTTCAAAATGTGCAGGGGTAAAAGGCATTGTTTAAAAAAACCAGTATCTTAACATAGGTTTTTAAAAAATTTACGTGGTTAAGAGATCCAGTAGAGGAAAGTGTTGTCTTTTGTTTTGTAAAAGAGAATTGCTTTATGTGATTATTAAAAGGTAGGTACATCTGGTCTAGATGACTTTTCATGCTTAAAAGAATAAAAATTTTTCTTTGTACTATTATCTGGAGTCTACTTCCAAATCATAGTCATGACGATTAACTCTAAGTAAAGTCTGTTTTATATTAAGGAAAATTTTGCAAGTCCCTTACCTATTTTAATCCTTTTCTAAATGGGATCTTTAAATTACTCCTGCTCATCTCACAATTGTAGCAGTTTTTAACATCTCCAGTACATAGGTAATAGATTATGTATTTGTATGAAGTGAAATACTGCATGTAAATTTGACAAGATTAAAAGATCATGGATTTAAAAATCACTATAATGATTTGGAACTGGCTGAACTTTTACTTTGAGTAAAAAATCCACTGCATTCCCACCAAGCATGAAAGCAGGACTCCTGCTATTTCCTCCCTCGCCTGCTATTGCCTGAATCCGAGCACAGCACACTGTGCAGCAGGGTTACCTGGTCAATCTGTCAAGACAACACCTGGAAATCTTCCCGCTGAGGGCTATACTCACATCAGATAGCGGCCTTGACAGCCTTCACAAAACAATGTAGAGCTGCAGAAGTATGCATGAAATGTGGGAGGATAAGCTTGGGGGCTTTTTTGTTAATGCAAAATGACCCTCTAGGTATGTCTTACCTAAAATTTAGTTAAGGCTGGCTTGCTGCTGCTATAGTGTAGCTGCTTGGTAAGTGGGGACTGGCAGGAGGCTTCAAACATTTGGGTCTCACAGGTGCAGTCTTCTGAGTGTTTAAAGTTGACATGGTGATGGTGGGTGGCTTTGCGTTTGGTGGTGTGTGTTCAGGACAACAGAATAGCATAGCATTTTTGAGAAAGCACGCAGGAGCTGTGTTACCCCTTTTCTGCTGCTGCTCAAGGGTCACAGTGGTAGTATTCTGCCAAATTTCGTTTACTGGTCTCATGTTCTTCTCAGAAAGGATGGATGACAAGCAGAGGGAGAAGGCTGTGAAAACCTGTCTTCCCCACTAATTACCATGCCCGTTTCTTCTCACCAGGTTCCAGCTTGCAAATACATTACTCATGAGGAATTACCTGCTCTTTTTCTAACATTTGTTACCTCTGTGGTCTCTAGTGCCTTTGATTCTTCCTTTGTTTTTCAGAAAGAATTGAAATGTCAGCCTGTGACCCTGGCAGTGGGGCTTTAAAGGGCTGAAAGATGCATTGTATAGTTGTGTAGATACTAGGTTGTAATATTGGAGCTCAAGAGGAAGAATCATTTAAGCTATTTAAGATTTCTTTTTGTTCTTTCAGGATCCTTACAGAAGCGGAGATCGATGTGCACCTTGTAGCTTTGGCAGAGAGAGACTAATTAGCATTTCCATTTCCCTTGTCTGACCCTTCTGGCCAGGATATTTGGTGAAAAGAAAACACTTATTAATCGCTTTAGATAATGGGTGGAAAACAACGTTCACGGTATAATAGATTTTACTCTGTACAAATAAAACAGGTTTTTGAAATACATGGTGTGTCCTTTTAATGTATTTTTTTTAACCTTCAGTTCTATTAAATTCTCATCAAAATGCTTGATGACTTTGAATGTTTCTGTAATGATTGTATTTTAACTGAAATTTTATACTCTGCACTGCATTTTTCATCTGAGCTATTTGCTCCTAGTGTACAGTTTTATATCAGATTATGTGGTGTGTGTATTGAGATAATTCTTACATTTACATGCATTCTCTTCTTGCCCCGATATTGAAAGGCTTATAATATCACTGGCTTACCTGTGGGGAAATTAAAAAGATCTTAATATTTGCTCAGATTTGTATGAGGATATAGGACAAAAGTTGAATGAAAAAACTTGAGCTGCGATTCCCAGTGCACTCCTTTAGACTGATTAATTTGGGGTGCAGGTTGGGAACTTAACAGACACCTGCGATCATTGAACAGCTCTGAAGCTACCATTTATTTAGGGGCACAGATTCTGTATGCAGTGTACTTCGGGATTTTGGCTGTTTGTCACCTACCTGGTTTTGAGGCTTTGGGCAGCGCCAGAAACAATGTTGGGGCTGGATGGAGCCAATAGACAAAGTCCACTAACAACAGTGTTTCTGAGAAGCAATTCCCCTTGCTCCTTCAAAGGTTCTGGGTTAGGAGAAAAGAGAAGACTGCAAAAACCTGATTCAAGGTGAAGGTAAGTGCATTTTTTGCTGCAATTGGAGAGGTTTCGGCCTCAGCAGCAAAACGGGAGATGAAGTTGTGAGGGAGAAGACGCTGAGGAGAAAGGGAGCATTACCAGGCATTTTTAGCTGCTGGGTAGACATGAGAGTCCTCTTGGAAGAATGTCAAGCTAATATGACTTAGCTCCTTACCTTCATTCCTCTGCCATGCTATTCCTATTTTGGCTTTAATTACTCCAAAATTCTCTGATTATTTTGAGACCTTTGGGGAAGGACTCATAAGTCATTGAAAACTAGGATCGCTTAATTTTTTTCTTTTTGCTTTGTAGTTAAAGCCCATGAATGTGTATTTTTTGAGTTCTCTGTAGTAAAGGACATGCAATTCAGTGTTTGGTGGTATTAATAAGAGAGAATGCTAACCCTATGTTATAACTGAGTTGAGGAGGTTCAAATGTGCTATGAATTGTTGACTTTACAAAGCTTCCTGAATTTCTATTAGTGCCTCCTGAATTTCAGCTTCCCTCGTGTCAGTGTAGTATAGGTGTTAAGATGAAGTGACCCTTGCTTCTGCTCTTGGGTTGGTTACCTGAGAATTCTGTGTGGGTTTGTGCAACAACTGGCAGAATAGACACTAATGGCACATTTGGAAAAGTCTGTGTCGTTCCAAGTGACAGCTGAGTTCCTGAACTTCCTAGGGCCTTTCTTCCCAATACTCTGGTTGTACAAAAACCTGGAATTTGAGTAGACTTAAGTTGTCATTTATTTTGCCATAAAATATAATACATTGGTACTTTGTTCTTGATCAGCTTTAATTATGTATATAAAACTGCACTAAGGACTTCTTGAACAAAACAAATTAAAAGGAAGAGCCATATGACTAGAGCACTTTTGCGTCGTATTTAGTATTAAAGCTCCCTGCAACACCTTTAAGTCTAAATTTTGGAGCTTGTATGTGATTGTATAACTCGGGTGTGGGTTCTGAAAGCAATGGGTGTTTGTTCATACCTGATGCTTTTGCAATGCAGAACATCCCAGTTTGTGTTCAGAGATAATGAAACAAGCTGTGTACGATACATTAACTGGGAATGTTGTGTCTCTTTATTTTAATAAGCAAAGTTGAAATTGCAGCAACTGAAATGTCATTTCTGCTCGTATTTTGTCCTGTAGTGAAAATTCATCATTCCCTTTTCATACTAGTGATGGGGGCTTTTCTTTTTCAGTCAGAGCTTTTTGTTGTTTAAGGTAAAGCAGCTCCGCAGGTGGCGATACCTGACCTGATGGGAAAGCCCCGTGTGTTACATGTACCTGTGATCACATTCCTCACACCTGGAGCAGATGGCACCTGCAGCCAAACTGTACCAGCCATGGTGGTGACTGTACCTGGTGTCAGCTGCTCTTCCAAACCTGGCACTTTGAGAGAAACTAGAGTATGCATGGTATGATCCTAACGTTCTGGTTAGGGTACAGCCTGTCAAGAGTGATACCAGGCTTGGGCTCGCTCCATATATTTGGCTCGTTGTGCCAGTGCTGAAAACTCTGGTAGGTGCAGTTATGGTGTGACTGCACAAGTGGTTAAGCAGGAATAGAATCAAGTCTTATTTGTGTGCTAGAGCCAGATCAGTGTTATCAGTACTAAATGCGGACTGGCTCTGCACAGCCTTGTAACTGTGTCCCTGTTGCATTCCCAGTGCTCTTTATGTGTGGTGTTGTGTCAGGATGCAAATACCGAGTACATGCAGTCATCTTAGGTAAATCAGTATTTGTTGGACTCTGGGAAAAGCATCTGGATTTCTTACAAGCAATCCCTCATCCCCCAAGGGGCCCTAGAAGCAGTAACGGCATGTATTACAGACAGAAATAGCTTCACAGGGCATCTTAATATAGTCTGTGGGCCATGAGGAGCTGTCTGTTCATCCTGGAAACAAAAGAAGTTAAGGCTGGCAGTAATGAACCTCCATGGGATTTAAGATATTTCTGAAGTGCAACATGTGGTACTGAATCAACTTGTCATGCACAGCGTTAGACCAGGCCTCTCCACTGTAAAGCCTCCAGTGATCGTCTTAAGCACAGAGATGTGGATGGGGAGTTCAGGTGAGGTATGTGTAGATACATTACAGCAGTTTTAATGACATGGAATAATATGCTGCATTCTTCTCTACCTTCTCTGTCCTGTTTCTCATCAAGCCAATATCCAGGTGTATAAAATAAGAAATGTTTTGGTTCAGTGCACATTGTTGGAAGTAAGATGAAAGAATGAGACCTGCAGCTTGCTGGCATCTGAAGAAAAAGAAAAAACCCAATTAACTTTCCTGGGTTTTTCCCTGACACAGAAGCAAACTCTGCTATTTTGAGTTCTGCAAAGCAGTCTTGTTGACTCATGAGATCACGTTTTGTGAAGCGTATCCATGACAGTATTCATGTTTTCTTCTAGGAAAAAACCTGCACTACCAGGGTAATAACGGTAGGGGCATTGCTTTGCATTTGGTAATCAGTGATATTTTTTTTCAGATGGGAAGTTCTTAAATTGTCATAGCTTGTTCCAGCCAGTTCTTGCTAGAAACAGTTTGTTCTGTTCTCTTGTTTTGCTGTAACCCAAACTATTTGGAAACAATGCAAGACATCCTGTAGTTCAGGATCCATTGGAACAGTGACCTTAAGCCTCTCATGCCCAAACTAAAACAACGATCATCACATGCTTATGCAAAGCTGCTCAAAACAGTGTCTGGTTTTTTTTGTTCATCATGATTCTCATATTTTAAACCAAAACACTTTCTCCTTTGTACTGTCTGTACAGATAAACTTGCATTTCTTAAATAACTGTCAAAACCCCCCGTTTTTAGCAGTATTTGCTGCTGTTCACCAAGCTTTTCTTAGCATAAGTAGTTTCTAGTAGTAGTCTTACCTGTGTCACCATCATCTATGAAAATTCTGTACTACGGTGTTAAATATGGGAACTGTAATGTACCTGACTGTAAACCTGGTGAATAAATAGACCCAGCATACCACCAAGTCAAAATCCAGCTAACTGCATTTGGCAGAACTGAGTCATCTGTGAAGAAGTGTATGCTTCAGTTTTTTTGAGTTAGTGTTTTTCTCCTGGTCCCTTTGAGAACCTGTCAGCTGTAGCTGAGTTTCCTGGTGCTCCAGATGCACTACATGGCCTTGCTGTGCACCTCATTGCAGCTTAGCTGATCTATGCATCCAAACACAAGCCTCTGGAATAACATTTCCTAGCAAAGGTTTTAGCGGCATAGTATGCAGTGCAGATTAGAACACACAAACCAAGAGGTAGCTTTTTTACCAGCAAATTATATTTGTTTCTTTTCTCTACTAGAAAACTGCCTCTTGTGACACCCACTGGCATAGAGTTGTGAATGTAAGGTATTTAATCCTCCATGGGATTCCTTAGACTAGCAACCCTCTCTCAAGTTAGAGTCTCAGACCTGGTTGTGGATGGAGAAACATGGCATGAATGTGCGTGGCCTGGCACTGCACGGCAGGGATGTCTTTCAGTGGCATCTGGTGTTGCTGTGATGTTTGCAGGTATGCTCGCTCTCCTCCTTTTGATCCCAGCTGTGCCTGCCCTCTTCCTTCAGCCAGCACCGGTGCTCATTTACATTTCTAACGAGCCGTTCTGCTTACTGAACTGGTGGAAAACATGGTTTTGTTTGGTTCAGTTCTCTGTTGGATTAGTGACCTGAATTGGCTCACTGTAGGATAAAATTTGCTGTAGTGCTGGCATAAAGAAGGGAAGAGGGAAACGGATTGCCCTGACTCTGGTTTCAGCCACGGTGGAAACCACAGCCCACATCACCAAAGGAACAGGAGCAGCCATAGCTCATTATCCCTTGACTGCTCTTTGACTTAAACCTGTGTGATGGCACCTGGTGCACCAAAGTGGCATTTGCCTCTGCCAGCAGGTGACACAAGCCTTCCTGAGCAGCACCAAGACTACCCCTTCTAGTCTGAAGAAGGTTTCTTTGTGCTGTTACAGCAGCTCATCCCTAGTTCCTCCGCTTCTGTACCTGTTGTGTAGCCCTGCAATTTCTAGGGCTACCCAGGGAACTGGATTTGGAAACAAGTCTATGTTTTAAAAAAGAAAAATAAATTTTAAAATCCATCCAGAGAAGTAGCATTAATTCAATTTGGACACTGGTTTAACCTTGGTTCACAATAGTGGTACCAGCACAGGGGGCAGTGCAGGACAGGATCCATAAGCAGGGTCTGGTAAAGCACTGGTGCATCTGGTAGGAGCGGCAGTCAGAATCCTCCCCTGTGATCAGACACTTTCCTCAGGGAGGGGGGGATATCAGTTAACCGAATCTGTCAAAGCCTCC